GGGGGGGGGGGGTCAGGAACTCAGGTGGCTGGGTGGTCTTTTCGTCCCTGCCAAATGGACTGGGTCAAGGGGGCAGGGACAAAAGGCACCTCAAGGTCGCTGGGGGCAGGGCTGGAAGAGAAGGGTGGGGCCTGGCTTCCTGGCGAGCATGCAGGCCCTGAGGGAGCAGGGTCCACTGCGGGCCAATATGGGACAGCCCCTTGGAGAGCCCAGGGCCACCCAACTGGCTGTGCCCGCCGCACTCTGCCGTCTAGGAAGCCGAAGGACGGGCCTGGTGCTCCTGACCCATACAGACCAGGGCCTCCCTCTGTGGGGTCTGGACGCCGCCCCAGGTCAGCCTGCTGGCCCTGCGCACCTGTCTGTACCTATGTCCTCACCTCGGGTCAGGCGTGTGGTGGGGAGGGGCTGAGGCTGAGGAGCCCTCAGTGGGCACCAGAGGTGGGCACAGGATGGGATAGCAACTGGGCTTGAGGAGGTGCCGCCAGGTGGGGATGAGGTCTGGGGGACCTTCCCCTGCCCCCGTGCAAAGGACACCTCAGCAGGATCCCAGAGGATGCCCGGGGAGTAGGGACAGTCTACAGCCAGACTGTGGGCACTGAGGAGCAGTCCTGGGACCCCAGAGAGGCCGGCCCCCTCCCCAGCAGTGGTGGTCAGTTGTGGTCAGGGATGGGCGGCAGGTGGGGGCTGACATTCACAGAGGCGCCAGCAGAGGGAGCCAAAGCCCCACTTTTGAAGCCCCCTTTACCGCTAGGCCAGACCTCCCTTGGGGGCCAGCTGTTCAGGAGGTCCCCAGCCAGCCATGCGTCCCCACCAGTGGGAGTTTCCATGTGGGGGCCACCTGGGCTCTCTAGGGTGTGAGTTTGAGAGGAAGAGAAGGGAGAATGGTGCTGGGGTCCCTGAGAACCAGCTGGGCTGTGCTGGTCCTCCCCGTGGCACTGCAGGCTGAAGACCAAGCCCTTGTTCTCACGGTGAGTCGGACTCCAGGGGGCAGATCCCGGGCCCAGGAGGTAACAGGCAGGACCCAGCAGGATTGGGGTTCACTCATGATTCCTGAGCCCCCCAGTTTCCCCAGCCCAGAGCAGAATGGAAGAAGAGTCAACTGCAGAAAGAAAGAGTGTTGGGGGTGGGGTGGGGGGCGGGATTGGAGCTGGTGACACAATGAACAGGGTGAGGTAGCACCCCTCAGCACCCCCTCACACCCCCTCCCCCAGCCCAGCCCCATCCAGCAATATTGTTTCTGGCCTCCATGGTGGGGACAGCTGGACAGATTGCTTCCAGTGCATGGAGGACCCTCCCCACCCCCCACTGCAGGGCACAGACAGCACCCGGCCCCTCCTAACCCTCTCACAGAGCCCCCTTCCGACCTCACACACCCCAGGAGCGGCCTGGCGGCACCAGGGACATAAAAGCGGGTTTCAGGGGTGCAGGGTAGGCTGAGGTCCCGCAGACACCTAGAATGCTGGTCCTGAGGTCCCCAGGGGCCAAGGGGCCCCAGTGCTGGGCTGCATGAAATGAGGGTTCTGGAGGAGCTGGCCCCCCTCCCTCCAGCAGCCCAGGCAGCTGACTCGGCAGAGGCCGGGGCGGGGCATGGCAGCCCACATTCCTCAGCCCCGACCCCCTTCCTGTCCATCTGTGTTTTTGGAAAACAGATCTGGGGGCTCCCTGTTGAGACTGGACACCCGCTTTTGTTCTTCAAAGTCAGACTGTCTTCAAACTTGGTCCTGGTCCCGGGCCTCTGCCGGGGAACCACGGGTCTGGGGGCCTGGCTGCTCCCTGGACTTGCTGTGTGACCCCAGGAAGTCCCTCTTGGTCTCTGGGCCTCGGGCTCCAGGCCGCAGGGTGGGTATACACACTGGTGGTCCTGTGGGGGGAGCTGGCCTTGGGAGACCTTAGGCTCAAGGGCCCTGCGCTCTGCTGGACTTGTGCTGACATGGGTGGGGGGGCTTCTTGGCTGCACACAGGGGAACCCTCTGACCCTGGTCCAGCTGTGAGGAAGGAGGGGGTCAAGGGTCCCGGCTGGGCGGGAAGAAGAGGGACTGAGGGCCCCTCCCCCCACAGAGAGAGCCTCAAATGCCCCAGCTTTGCAAAGTCAGCTCCCAGCCAGGCCTGGGGGTCAGGCAGGCGGTGGCTGCCTCTGGGAGGGCACAGCCACCCCCCCATCCCTGACCCTCGAAAGCCACAGCAGGTTGCCGGAGGATGGCCATCCTCTGGGCCTCCACGGGTGGGCAAGAGCCAACCAGAATAAGGACAGAGGATGTCTGTCCGGCAGATGCAGGGACGATGGACTCTCACCTCATACAACCTCAGCGCACTTGGTCTGCAGGATGTGCCCCCTTGGCCAGGGCAAGCTTTATGTGGAGGCTGTGTGGCCTGGGGGACGCCCTGAGCCCCTGTTCCCATCTCACCAAGAGGCACCAAAGTTGGCCCCATCCCGCTGGGCGGCTGGGGGGCTCAGTGTGTGAGTTGGGGGGAGGTTACTGAGCAGGTCTGTCCACTCAGTGCCCTCACAGGGCAAGTTGGGGTGAAAGCACCCGGAGTTCTGACTCAGGGCATTGGGCCTTGCCAGACCACGTGGCCACCAAGGAGGCCCTGCACAGGGCAGCCTGCTCTGGTGCCTCCCTGTCTCTGGGGGGTGATGCCATGGCGCTCAGAGGTGCAGCTTAGTCCTGCCAGTGGAGCCCCTTCAACAAACAAGCAAACAGAACTCGCTGCCATCGAGGCAATGCCGACCCATAGCCACCCTATTGGACAGGGCAGCACTGCCCCTGTGGGTTTCTGAGACGGTCTCTTTTGACAGCAGTAGAGAGCCTCCTCTTTCTCCCAGGGAGTGGCTGGTGGTTTCTAATTGCCGACCTTGTGGACCGCAGTCCCATGATGGCAAGCCTGTGGGCAGGTCTATATTTTCCACCCACAAAGCCTCTGCCCTCAAATTGATTTCGACTCACGGCGACCCCATGGGCAGAGTAGACCGGCTCCTGTGGGTTTGTTTCTGAGACTGTCGTCCGTTCTGGGAGCAGACAGCCTCATCTTGCGCCTGAGGAGCGGCTGGTGGTTTTGAACTGCCAACCTTGTGTTTAGCAGCCCAATGGGTAACCCACTGCCCCGCCAGGGCTTGTGCATTCGCCCGGGAAAGAAAGTTCTAATTGGCCGTGATAAGCATTTCCTCATGGTGATGGGAGACGGGGGGCGGGGCTTGAACCCATGTCACCCTCAGAAGCTGTTCCTCCTCAGCCCCATTGGTCACCCTCAGAAGCTGTTCCTCAGCCCCATTGGAGCCACAGCTCAGAGGATAGACTAAGCCTTGGCCCCACCTGGCTTTCCCGGGGTCCACTCTCATGCGGGGCTTTGCGGCCTTGGCATATCTAGGGGACGTGTGGGGACAAGGGGTCAGGCCGTTTCACCTGAGGTGCTGACCAAGGGCGAGTGGTCCAGATGGGCAGCACAAAAGCCAGAGAAGCATCTTCCTCCCAACAGGTTTCGGGCCGGACCTGTTGTTTTCCTACCGCACTATGTTAGTGCTGTTGGGAGCTGTGCGGGCCCTTCCGACTGACTCACAGAGACCTGATGTACACTTCTTCCAAGACAGATGTGTGTACCCCCTTGGCAGTCCGTTGTGCACTCAGGACTTTCTCCAGCACCGTGGTTCATAGGCATCAATTCTTTCCACTTCCTTGGCCAACTTTTACATGACTTCAATAAGCGCATTGATTATCCTAAAGCAAAGCTCTTTCTGGGGTGGAAGCCACAATTGCTCTGTGTGGCCACAAGGTGTCAGGCCCAGGCCAGATTTAGGAAGCTCCATTTTCTGGGTCAGGCAGCCGAACTTGAACTTGGGGGAGCATGGTGTTGAGAACACATGTTCAGGACCCCGGCCCCTTACCGAGCCAGGGTCACCCCAGTCTGCCTGGAGCCCCTCAGTAACACCTGGTTCTATCTTGGCACAAATTACGCTATTCCTTCCCATTCTCAGAACCTTCCAGGCTTACCCTGTGGCTCTGGGTACCCACATGACACCCCTTCACCCCCACGTGGGTTCTCATAGTGGGGGGTCCTGCTAGCTCCGGAATGCCAAGAGAGAGACTGAATGAGAAACTCAGATCCAAACACAAAAGTGACTATCCCGCTGTGCCCCAACTCGGCAGAGGGGGACACTCTCCCTGTCGGAAAACTGTCCTCTGTCTGCACAACCACCGCCGCCCCCCGCCCCCCAAGGATCCACGGAATGCCTCAATCCATTGTCGAAAACCTTTGGGTTGTGCCGTGGTAATTACAACCTTGGCCACCAGGTGTCAGTACGAGGCCACATAACAGTCAATTGGCGGCCACTTGGCGCTGGAGGCTGCAGGGGGTCCCCCAGTTCTGTCCCACCTCAGTGAGGTCCAACCAGAACCCCAGGACAAGGGGATCTCACAGGCCTAAGAGCTGGTGTAATCGGGACATATTGGTTGTCATGTGTCTGCCCTTCATTCCTGCACCCCAACTTTTGTTCCATTTGTGGTCAGTCTCCCCACGTTGTCAACCCTATGAGTCATGTGCCCCTTTCTGTGAATGGGAAATCCTCTTTGAGCATTAGGAAATCAGTTTCCACACCCTAAATCATTGACCCCAATACCTCAGGCCGTGCCTCAGTGGCACCATGGCTTAGCTGGGGCCCTCTGTACTACTCACCCACCCCATCCCCAAAGGGGCAGGCTGGAGGTGGAATGCAGTTTAGGACAGAGTTCTTATCTCCAGACTGGGGGTTACTTCCCTTCCCATTTCCTCCATCTTGGTCAAGAAATCCACAGACATCTTGTCAGACTTGGGGTCAGCCACTTACCCTCCCTGGAGTCCCTATAGGGTGGGCAGGCCAAGCAGCCTTCCCAAAGGACCCTGGCAGTAGACAGACATGTGGATGTGGCTGCTGCCAGGGGTGGGGTGGGGTGAGGTGTGTCAGCTTGTGGCCATGGGGCCACTAAGCCAAAGGCACACCACAGCAGAGCTGGAGCCCTGTGACTGAAATCACACCCACGCACCAACCACACGTGACTCAGCTGTAGCCTGGTGAGGAGACCTGCCTGCTTTCCTCCCACGGGCTGGGGCCGCTCTAGGACATCTGAATTCCTGTTGGGGACACCCACCATATCTGAGATCCTCCTTCCAATCTGTCACACTTTACTTCAGCAAGCCCAGCTCTCCCCACCTTCGTAACCCTCTAATGGTGAGGCTGAAGGGAGAATTAAGTCCCAGGGCTGACCAGTAAGTTGGGCAGTGTAAACCAACAGAGGGTGGGCATGAGTGTGGGGTGCAGAGTGGGTGGGAGCAAGAAGCCCTCTGGGGAGCAGGCATGGTTTCATGGCTTGGTGAGCTTCCCCTGCAGGCTCAGGGGCACCAACCGCCCCCCACATAAAACACAAACAACTCCCTCCCATCGAGTCAATACTGACTCATAGCGACCCTATAGGACAGAGTAGAATTGCCCCTGGGTTTCTGAGAATGGAACGCTTTCTGGAAGTAAAAAGTTCCATTTTTCTCCCTCAGAGCTGCTAGTGCTTCTGAACGGCCGATCTTAGAGATCTCAGGGCTCCTGGTTCAGGGCCATGGACCTGCTTCTACTGTCCAGTAAGATGTAGTCCAGTCAGGTGTATGCCTCTCTCCCAGGCATGCCAGCTCTAGGCCTGTGCCTCAGTTGGAGTTTCAGGCAGAATCAAGAAGGCTGAACCTGACGGCCTATTCCTATCCCCAAGTGCTTGCAAGCAGGGAGCTTGCTCTGGGTCACTCAGCACATAGCACCACGTGTGTGAGTAATAGAAGAGCCAAGGGGGAGTAGCAGAAGGAGTGAATCCCTGCCCTGGAGGAAGAACTGAGACCAGGAGAAAGAAAAATATCATTGGACTATGTCTCCACTGCCCTGGGTGCACCAGCAAGGTTATCCAGCTGCCCTTCCTGGAGTTCTGCTCCCTCCCCACGCTCAACCCCTCCCAATTTACCCGTGCCACACCCGCCCACATTCCAGGGTATCAAGTAACTTCCAAGTGTCACTCAAGTGTGGTTCTGCCCACCCCCCAGCTTCCGCTGCCCGAGCCCCACCTCCCAGTTGGCAGGGTCAGCTTCCTGCTTATGCCCATGCCCATAAATGCCTTTCTGCCTGGTGAGGGGCGGGGCAAGCCCTTACAACCCCCTATGCACTGTGCCTGGGTGAGAGAAGGTGCCCAGCCACTGGCCCCAGCCAGCACCAAGTTGGAGCAGAGCCCCTTTGGACTTGGAGGGGATAATTGAGAGCGAGGAGGGACGGCGTGGAGGGGGCCAGGAGGAGGAGGAGGAGGTAGGGGCAAAAGCCATCCTTCCAGTTGGCACTTGGCAGGTGCTCTGCTCGGTGGAGAGGCACTCCTGCTTCTAGGGGAGCCACACCATGCACACCCTAAAAGTGCCCTTCATCGTCTCTGCAGCCTCCTCCTCCTCCCCCTCCACCTCCTCCTCTCCGGCGGCCCAGCTGGGGGGTCTGGCCCCCACGACCGGAACACCCTCTGCTTTGGCGGCGGCTGCTAATACTGGCCCAGCCAGTGGATCATCGTCCGGGCAGCTTTGCCAGAGAAGCCTGGGCACCAGTGACTTGCCGGTGCTCTTCATCCACCGCCCGGGAACGAGCGGGGCTTCGCAGTGCTTAGAGCACAGGTAAAGGGAGACCCTCTGGGGGAGTCACCCAGGCGTGGGTGGCTGGGGGCTTGGGGAAGCTGCTGGGGCACCTGAGGAGCAGCTTGACCTTAGCAGGGCCAGGACCCCAGGTAGGGAGAGGGGTCTGCAGCAGGGTGGCCAGGGAGGGGAGGTGGGGGTAGAGGCTTTTGGGGGGAGCATGGCTTTTTCTTCACTAATCCATCAGCTGAATAGGAGGGGCAGGGGCAGGGGCTGGGGGGGAGGGCACACCGAAATTCCCAGCAGGCAGGCACAGCTGTTTCTGCACAAAAGGCCAGCCTTTATGTGTGTGAGAAATTGCTCCTTGTGGCACAGCCCGCTGACCACCCCACCCCCCACCTGCCCCCCCCCTCCCACCAGAGACAAACAGGAGACCATGCAGAGGGGCCAGGGCCCCAAGAGTTTGAAGCAGGTTTTTTTATGCCATTTTTAAAAGTCAAACATCTCCCTCCCCACCCCTGCAGCCCCCCTCCCTCCCCACTAGAATCCCACCAAGATATTGGGAAGAGGTGAGGTCCAAGGGACAATGCCGGTAGATTAAAGGGAGCGCTTCTCTCTTGGGCAGTGGGCCTGGGTGCCCTGTGCCAGGGGTCCTGTCTTCCACGCCGAGTCCTCCCCCCACTTAGCCTGGCTTTGTGGGGAAGGGGCTCATTACGAGCACACACATATACACAGGCACACACACACACATTTGTACTCAGAATGTCCTCAGTCAGGAGGGGGCAGACACCCAGGGTTTCCTCCCTCCCACCCACACATTTCCAGGCTTAGCTGTAGGGAAGCTGATTGCCCCTCTGTCCCTCTGTCGGGCTTGGAAGAAGGGGGAAGTGGGTGGCAATAGGGGTAGTGTGGAGTAGGGGACACTGGCCACTCGCTGGCAAGGTGACCCCCTGGAAAGCAGGGGAGGGGCAGGGTGTATTTTAAGAGATCCTTTCAGGTGCACCCCCCTGCTTTTCCTAGGGGCCGAAGAGTGACTGCTGACCCGGTGGAGGAGCAGGTGGGAGGCAGAGCCCAGCAGCAGGCCCTCCCGGCTCGTCCAACCATCCCGGCTCAGCCCTCTGTTCAGCCTGCCCCCCAGCCAGCCAGAGCTGCCCGAGACCCTAGCCCTGAGGTGAACTGTTGTGGCGTGTGGTCCCAAAGATTCCAGAACTGAGGCCCTCTGTCCGTCTGCCCAGACCCCAGAGGTGAGTGCCGGGCACCGCAGGCGGCAGATGTCATGCTGTCCGAGGCCAGGCCTTCACAGGATCCTTGTTTCTGGAGCCCCTCGGAGCGGGAGCAGACCCTTGGCCAGGAAGGGGCACAGAGTCATAGCTGGTGTCCAGCCCACAGTCGGTCTCACTCCAGGTGCTGCTGGTCTCCCCGAAGTCCTAAAGAAGAAGGCTCTGAGAGGAGTTAGAAGGGCAGAGGGGAGGGCAGGCCGCCCAGGGAGGAGAGGTAGGGGGTCTGAGTGAAGACAGAATTTGAGGAGAGGGGAAGAAGGTGAGAGAAGGAGGGAAAACTCATGAGTTGGGGAGGGACTGGGGGGAGTAGGACTCGGCGTGGGGTGCCAGTGCCTCCAGGCCCTGGGCTGCTGGGCTGTGGGGCCCCATTCCAGACACCCGGCCTGCCTCTGGGTCCGGCTGTTCATCAAAGGGGGTGACAGCTCCTGGGCCTGTGACCGTGCAGGATGTGATCAGCAAGTGAGGCGTTGGGGTCGGGTGGGGGGCGAGACGAGGGTCTCTTAGGACTTCACAAGAGCCCTTGTCCCATGTGCTGGGGAGGGTGTCAGGGAAGCGGGGGATCCTGTTTGGGGGGTGGTTGTACAAAGCAGGCAGGCGAATGATGGAGGTATCTTTGGTTCCATGATCAGGTACTGGGGGAGGAAGGCAGGGGTGTGTGTGTGTGTGTGTGTGTGTGTGTGTGTGTGCTCAAGAGCATGCATGCACGCGGGTGAGGCTCAGCTGCCTGAAATGAGGACGTGCCGGTTGGCCAGTGGGCCTGTGGTGTCCTTGGGTCTGTGTCCTTGGGCCTAACCCAAGAGACCTCTCAGCCCCCTGTGCTGGCCCTTGGTGCCTGCAGGCTGCCCACCCCAGAGAGCGGTCAGGAGTGTCCTCTGAGTGAGGGTCAGGGCCTCATGGAGTCAGGGTCACAGGCATGGAGTCACAAGCCCCACCCCACCCAAAGCCCCCGGCTGGGCAGGCCATACGTACTTGTGGTATTTCCCTGGCTTGGCGTCTTTATTGGTCAGCCCTGGGTGGGCTTGTGTCTTGGGAGTCTTGGAGGCCCCAGCAGGGCTCAGGTTCCTGGCTGAGCAGCGGTGTGTCCTCCTGGCCGGCAGCTCAGAGTCTGAGCTTCCATGGTAGGGGCCTTGCAGGGGTCGAGGGAGGGGCACTCAGGGACCCTGGGAGGACAAATGGGTTTGCAAAATTCTGGGCTGGGTCCCAGAGAATGGGGGTGGGTGGGAGTGGGGGTTGAGGCCAGCGTCAGGGCCGGGGAGAGAGGGGGTGGTTGAGAAAGGCAGGGGAAAGAGGGAATGCCCGACGTGCTGGGGGAGTCCAAGGCCGTGTGCGCAGCGTCCTTTCCTAGGGCCGAGTCTCACTGGGGCTCCAGGCGTCCTGAGCAGATCTGGAATCCAGGCTGGTGCGTCCAGTGAGACCCGCTTTGCTGGGTGCGTGGGGAAGGGCTTTGGGGAAGAGGGGCTTTGGGGGCTGAAGTTTCTCATGGGAAGGGAGACCCCCCCACCCCACCCGGGCCCTCCCTATCCTGGGGGCTGGACTGGGCAGCGGCCCGCCCTGACTGCTGGGGGGTGGGGCACTGCTCATGCCACATGGGCCCCAGCCTGGGGCCTGCCCCTGGGGGCTTGTTTGTGACTAAATAAGGTGCGGACAGTCTAGTGGCCGTCCTGTGGGGGCAGGGGTGTGCCTGTGCCACCCCAACAGATCCCGGAGGCCCTGGCAGGCCCCATACCCATTCTTCCTACCGTGGAAGGTTCCCGGCTCAGGCGCAGCTCCAAGGGCTTCACAGATCTCTCCCGGGCAGGCGCCCTGCCGTGCTGACAGTGGGCAGCCTCACACGGGCCTGGTGTGATTGTCCCCTAAGGCCTCCTAAGAGAGGGAAAGCCCACCACTCTGGATTGTTCCCTCCCTGCTGCCCCAGGAGGCCGGAGAGCGCCTGGCACACAGGCTGGGCACAGCTCCGGCCTCCTGGGCCTAGGAGCCTCAGACTGACTTTGATGGAGACCCACAGGCAGGCTCTCTCTGACTGCCCCCTACCCCCAAACGTGTCAAGTCTCACCACAGAGGGGTGTGTGTGCAATACGACACACCCAAGGCTTTCTCTGGGGGCTCCCTGGCTCCCCCCGCAGAGGAGGACTGTGGGGAGCGGAAGGGGGGCAGCCAGGGGTGGGGAAGCTGAGGCCAGATGTTCCTGGAATGGACAGGGGGTGATTGATGGAAACTGGGATTTGGGAAGGGAGCAGCCTCTGGAGCCTTGGGCTCTGGGGTCGGAATAGGCTGTTTTTCAGGGGGAGGGGGTCTCTGCTTGGCCAAGCTAATGTGAGAAGCAGCCTCTGTCCTGCCTGGGTCCTCACACCTGCCCCCAGCATTAACCCCTGCCTGCCCAAGGCGCCCTGGGGCCCAACCCGGGTTCTGGGGGGACCCTCCCCGCTTTTAGTCCGGGATCCCGTTGGCTGACATTTGGGATGAACAGTGGCCACCGCACAGGCCGTCAGCTCCCCACATTTCACTGCCCCCCACCCCAGTAGTACTTCCTATCAGGCAGCACTCCACGTGTGACCCGCCGTGCCCCTCACCCCAACATTGCCCAATTCCAGGGGTGGCCGTGTGTGCTCAGGCCGCCCTCCGCGGTTCTCTGCACCCTGTTTGCCTTTAAGAACGTGGACTTTCCCAGTGCCGGGGTGGGAGGCTCCAGTGGCAATTCTGTCCGCAAAATCCCAAAAGAGGTCCTTCACACGCCAGCCTCTCCGCACTTCTGCGCCCCCATTTCCTCCCCACGCCCCAATTTTTCCGGTTTTTTGGGCCCTGTGCAGAAGCGCCTCTTTGAAGCATAACCAAACGCAACCGGGGTTTCGCCCGACGTTTGGAGGCCAACGAAGGCCGGAAATGCGCTCGCAGGCTGCGGAGGCGACCAAGGGGCGGTGGCAGGGGGTGCCCCCGAGTCCCCAAACCAAGCAGGGGATGAATTTGCCCCGAGGCGTCGGCCCAGCCGCGGCTTCGCCTAGGCTCGCAGCG